TATATATATATATATATATATATATATATATATAGATATATATATATATATATATATATATATATATAGATATATATATATATATATATATATATATATATATATATATATATATATAGATATATATATATATATATATATATATATATATATAGATATATATACATATAGGGGATAGAAAAATGCCGCTCGCGAGCCACATGCGGCTCTTTGGCCCCTTGAGTGTGGCTCCTCCACAAAATACCACAAAATACCACGTGCGGGCGTGCACGTACAGTGCGACTGAAACTTCGTGGCCCATGCGCAGAAGTCGGTATTTTGTGGAAGAGCCACACTCAAGGGGCCAAAGAGCCGCATGTGGCTCGCGAGCTGCAGTTTGCTGAGCCGCAGTTTGCCGACCACTGCCCTAGTTGACTCAGGGCATATCTTCAGTGTCTCCCTTCTCACAGACTTCATTGCCCCTCCAACCAGTATATAAGTTTGCCCTCCTTCCCGCGCCTTCTTCCTAAGGATCTCTTAGGGTGCAGTGGCTTCCTCATTGAGCTCTCCAGCTAGGATCTTTCAGGCTCTGATCCATTTTCTATCCTTGGCAGAATAGTCTTCCTGAAGAATAGATCAAATCACATCATTACTTGCCCATAACTGTCCAATATTTTGTCTTTGTCCATAAACATAACTTCAAACTCCCGAGCTGAGCATTCAAGCTCCTTCACCATCTAGTCCTAGCCCATCTTCCAGTCTTAGTTTTGATTCCCCCTCGCCTCTTCTGCCCCATTCAGGCATAGGGGCTTTCCCCAGTGCCTCGAACATACGCAAGCCTCCACCACACCTGTTCTCAATCTGTTCCCTTTGATGGGATGATCTCCTTCCACCCCTCTTTGGGGTCAGCCAGGCTCGTGTCCCCTATGACACCTTCTTCTGGCTCCCTGGCCAGAATGGTCATCTCCTACCTCTGTGCTCCCACAGAACTTTGTATGGCTCTTGTGGAAATTTGACTGTTTAATATTAATGTAACACCTTACAAGGCAGAATATGGCAGGTTAGGGATCATCTCTCACTCATGTTTACGTCCTTTACAGGAATCTTCTCCACCCAGCAAATAGTAGGGCTTCACTAGAGGTTTGTTGCCCTGAGCTGAATGAATCAAGAAGCCACTTCATGTTTAAGTAAACATGAAAAAGAAAAAAACCTATTTTTTTTTTAAAGAAAAGACAAGAAAGAGAGTCACTGGAAGGCCAGGAGTTGCAGCTGATCGCAGCCAGAACTCAAATGCCCCCGGCATTTCCTGCACGCTTCTGGTACAGCATTTGTCGCTCTGTCGCAACTCTTTGTTTCCCTGATTACTTGTCTGTCCCATTAGATCAGGTTCCTAACCCTTTTTTGGGTCATGGATGCTTTTGAGATTCTGATGAAAGCCATGGACCCACCCTTTCATCATATCAAATGCACACTCATGCCCGGCTGGCGTGGCTTAGTGGTTGAGTGTTGACTTATGAACCAGGAGGTCACAGTTTGATTCCCGGTCAGGGCACATGCCTGGGTTGCAGGCTCGATCCCCAGTGGGGGGTGTGCAGAAGGCAGCCAATTAATGATTCTCTCTCATCATTGATGTTTCTATCTCTCCCTCTCCATTTCTCTCTGAAATCAATAAAAACATATTAAAAAGTGCACACTCATGTCAAATTTGCATGCAGAAGGTTCATAGATCTTCTAAAGCCGATCCATGGACCGTCATCCATCGACTCCAGACTAGGGACCTCTTCACCGGGCTGTCAGCTGTGCTGTAGGGAGAGTCTGTATGCATTTGGGTATCTAACACCTGGGATACAAAGTGGAGTCCCGCGTGAGCGTGAAAAGTGAAGAGAATCAACAGGAGAAAGGAAGGAGTGTGCAGCTGAAGTCACCTAGTGGACACACTGGGAAGTGCGTCCCAACTCCGCACAGCATTGCTTAGAATGCTGTCTCAGGAGGAACCTCCGGCTGTCCCTGGTCCAATGGATCCCAGCCCTGGGTGTGAATCTAAATCATCGACAGAACTTAAAAAAGCACACGGAATTTCAAGAGCCAGTTAAATCCCTGAAGAATAGAACCAGGGCTTGAGTTTATTTTTACAAAGCTCAGGTAATTCCGACATTTGCCCAGGTTTGGAAACCCCCGATGTAGTCCATGCTCACGTTACAGTAAGATTCAGTAACATGTCCAAAAATGACACCGTGAGAAAACAGTATCACCAGAACAAGATCACAAATGTCTGGACTCCCACCTCAGGACATCTTGGAAGAAAACCGGGTAGAATCTAATTTGTAACACGTTCTTTCAGACCATAATGCTCTTGGGTTATTACTCTACAGCAGTGGGTCTCCACTGGAGGAGACTTTGCCTCCCTTCCCCCACCCCAGGAACATTTGGCAATGTCTGGAGATATTTTGGGCTGTCACACGGTGAGGGAACACTATTGCTATCTGTGGGTAGAGTCCAGGGGTGCTGCTAAACTCCCTACAATGCACAGGGCAGCCCCTCCCCCCCGCAACAAATAATTACCCAGCCTAAACTGTCCTCAGTGGCGAGCCTGAGAAACCAGACTCTGCAGAGTCAAGAGGAAAGCAGGAAAACATGGGGGGCAGCACGTGGAAAGCCAAGAGGAGTGTAGAATTTGGACACCTGGTCCAATCTCCTAGATAGTAGCCCCAAACGCCTGTGAACTGTTCTATACCGTCAGGTTACAGGA